TATAGTTTGACACCACTTTAACTGTTATGGCTCCATCCTATGGACTCCTAGAATTTCTAGTTTGTTTTGGCACCAGAGCTCTCTGACAGAGAAGGCAAAATATCTCACAAAACTACAAATCCCAGAATTCCATAGTATTGAGCCATAGCAGTTAAAGCAGCATCAAACTGCATTAATTCTGTGGTGTAGATGCAGCCTTGAGTATGGGTAAGGGGTAGCAAGTGCCAGGATACTTTTATGCAATCACTTCCAAACAGAATTTAGAGAAGTTACTTTTTTAATTACAACTCCCATAATCCACCATTGGCCATGCTGATTGTAGGATTCTGGGAGCTGTGTGCAAAAATGTAATTTCCCCAAGCTGTGCTTCAAAGCAAGAGCAGTCCAAGCAGTGTGAAGTTGGCATTTCTGTGGCCAAATCTTCAACTACTTACTCTTAATCTATCCAAATGCCAATTATCAGAGAACAAACATAGTGCCACCTTGGCATGAAGTTACAGCACTGAGTCATATCAAACAGAATGTACCTACTTCTCACTGGCTATTTTCAGTTCATACCAACATAGTGTAGTGGTTTGAGTGTTGGACTATAACTCTGGAGATCAGGGTTTGATTCCCTTCTTGGCCATGAAACCCACTGGGTGACTTTGGACAAGTCACATGCTCTCAGCCTCAGGGGTATAGGCAATGGCAAACCTCTTCTGAGCAAATCTTTCCAAGAAAACCCCATGATAAGATCACCATAGGGTCACCATAAGTTGGAAACGACTAGAAGGCAAACAACACACAACACACCATTGTATTCCTGTTAGCCAGTCATGTCCAGGATGAGACTAGAGATGGTTCTGATGGACTTAGAAATGGAATAGCTACTGAATGAAGAGAGAATGCCTGCATAAGTGAACATGAAGCGGCAATCACTTTTGATGAGTTGAGGCCAAAGTGTGCTTTTCATTTTTAATTAACTTCCCTTTTTAAAACAGGCTAAGACAATCCAATAGCACTATGATTGCTCACATGGAAAATATAGTCCTTCCAGTCTTGGATGAGCAATTTTGTGTCTCAGAATTGATCCACCAGCTTCTGAGACAACATGAAATTCTTCACCACTACAGAATAACATTCTTATTTTGACGTGTGGTCCATCAGGTCAGCTGGAAATTCCTTGGCAGTGCACGATGGGAGATGGCTCTCAGAATTGCAAGAACAACAGCGATCAAGGAAAAGAAAGGATGAACCCACTCATGTGTCCCCTTTCCATTTCAGGGATTTTGTTCATTTCTCTTGCTGAATTTGGGGGCCATTTCCTCTTCCATTTTGCCCAATTCTAGGAGCACAGAGTTATTTATTACAGATTAGACACCCCAAAGATTTACAAAACCCATTCCAGGTTGTAGTCCAAACTTTAAAGGAACAAATCAAGGTGCTAAGACCTAGCACCTTGAATATCTCATTTAAACCTCAGGAAAAACCAGAGCAGATTGATCACCACCTGACATGAAATCCAACAGCCACTGATCATAGCATTCGACAATATAAGCTAGCCTTTCACCAGCCTTTATTTCCCAATAATTATGAGTTTTTGTCCTA